AACTTAAATCCAATTTTTACACCAATTGCTTTAAGGCAAAGTTTGCAGCTTTTCTCAAAACATACATTAGGCTAAAACTAAGTCATAGAGTTGGAAGAGACCTTGTGGACCATCCAGTCCAACCCCCTGCCAAAAATGTTCAAAACATTCAAAGCAAATAACTTGTCTACGTTCACTCTCTGAGCTTCACAACTAAGTGAAGTTGAAAACTTGACTCTCCTACATTTTAGTGTGATAACCACTCCAATGGAGAGGAAGAGGTCTAGAATATCTAAATACAATCTCATGTAGATACCGGAAACCTATCCTGGCTTGGTTGGTAGCTGAAAACTACTCTATATTTTAGTTCTCCTGATTTCAATATGTTATAAATGTGCTTGTTGTTATATTTATTTAAATGTTACTTTTAGGTTAGTTTTATAAGTTACCATTGTTGTTTTACTTATTGTTTGATTTGGCTTGTTTCTTGTTCAGTCTTTATGTGGCATTAAATGTTTCCCTCTTTGTTTGGAAACCACCCTGAGTTTCCTCAGAGAGATAGGGCAGCTTATAAATAAAATTGTTGTTGTTGTTGTTATTTGAAACACATCAAGATTAGTCCACAGCAGACAAGATCACTTTGCTGGCTGTTGTGTTGGATCGCACGTCGGACACTTCCCAAGTGTCTAGGACTGTGATGTAATAATAATAATAATCATCATCATCATCATCATCATCACCTTTATTTATACCCCGCCACCATCTCCCCAAGGTGACTCGGAGTGGCTTACATGAGGCCAAGACCAACAACACATCAGTAAAACAACAAAGCAGCAAGCAAATAAAACGATACAATTAATATAACTCACATATAAGCAGTAACACAAAAAAAATTTATCGGGAAATAATGCGTGCAGATCCTAGTAAGGTGGCCTTTTGCAGCTGGCAGATGGTAATTTTGTCAGTGCTTAAGTGCAGGCCAAGGTTTTTAGACACAGCACCCAGTGTGCCAATTACAATGGGACCACGTTTACTAGCTTGTGCCAGTCTTTGCAGTTTGATCTTTAAATCCTCATAACATGTCAGCTTTTCCAATTGTTTCTCTTCAATCTTGCTGTCACCTGGTATTGAAACATCAATGATCCATACTTTGTTTTTTTAATAAAGTCAGGAGTACTGTGCTCCAAAACTCTGTCTGTCTGAATTCGGAAGTCCTGAGTAGTTTGACGTGTTCATTTTCTGTAACTTTTTCACCAGTTCTTTGTTGCAGGCAGATGGTATTTGTGACACAAGTTCCATTATTATTATTATTATTATTATTATTATTATTATTATTATTATTCATGGCAGATGCAGAAAAGCTTTCTCAAAAGCTTTATGACCAGTTTAAATGACCCAGAGGATATCTAGTGAATCATATTTTGGGGAGCCATATGAATCTAATCTTTAAGCTAGCCTGTCTGTTCTATCAGTAGACACACTTAGAAGGCACTCTGGTATTCATGCTTCAAATAAATCATCATAAATAAATAATCTCAGTTGCATTCCATCTTCTGTACTGTAAAGCTTCTTCAATGCCAGAGCATTATGTGTTATGCCACTGAGAAGTAAACACTTTTCTGCATTGACCTTTATAACCTTCAGAGCCTGCTTCAGAATATGCCTGCCTCATATGAGAGAACTTAAGCACAAACTTGATAGGGCCCAAACAGTGTTTTCAGATGAAGCTGCATTGTACCTGGCACTCTACTATCATTGCCAAGAGCAGAGAAAGGGGAAGGTTTAGAGTGAAGACTAGACACACTCACAAATATATCAATGAACCATCACAGATCCAAGGAAATATGGAAGTTTTCACTGTTTTCATGTTCAATGGATATGTCAACACATATACAGACTCAGAGTTGGATCTGATTCCTTCTCACTAGCTTACGTTTAGGTAGTGGTTGGTGATGCAAAGAAGTGGTACAGAATCACATTCCGTCTTAAACAGGTTAAAACTCTTAGGGGTCCAGAACTGTTTCAGAATAGGCTTGACAGGGAATGCATATCTTTATATTCTAACACCATCTTTGTGATCTTAAGGACATCACTAACACCTTTTTAAATTGTTTGTAAACTGAATTCCACCAAAATCCAGGGCTTTGAAATCCTGAAAAATAACTCTCCCTCAGAAGACAGGTTAATTGTGTATAGACTGTCATGGCTTTGCTCTTTATGTACAGTCCAGAGGCAACTGGGGGTGCCCAGTTTCAATGGAGCAGTGAATCTATTCTGGTTTAGGTTTGAACTTTAAAGAAGCTATCCAAGTTTTTGACACCACTCTCCAGAACAGGGTTAACAGGGTTACCTAGCTACTTTACAATTGAATTAAAAATTCCAACTAAAATTGTGAGCAAAATCATTGCTCCGTTGCTGCAACTCCAGTATTTAAATAGGCCCTACCTTGAAACTCTTGTTTGAAGGTCTATCCATTTCAAGGCCATTTTAAAATTTAAGTAACAGATAAGGGCCTTGGAATTGCCTGTCCACAAGTAGCTCCTGGACAACTGTCTGTAAGTCACTAGGGTGTCTCAGCGGCACCCTAGTGACTTAATTGGTCGTTGCCTTCTCCACTAAGATATACTTATTTCTGGGTATTTTGTATAGTTACAGAATTGTAGAGGAATAAATAAAAACCTTGCAAAGATTATTAGAACCATATACAAAACCATCACTACCCCTTTCCCACCTGGGGGAGGGGGAGGGAGAGAGAGGGAAGGAAAGAAAGAAACCTCAAAGTGTGCAAGAAGAGTGTTCTTCCTAAAATAATTCTTCCCTGGAAGCACTATTGAACAAGTATCTTTAATTGACATTGCAAATGGCTACAACTGAAGTTGCAATCTGTGCAGATAGTTTTTGAAGAATTGTGTTCAAAGCAAATTTGCTTGTGCTTTTTCTTAGTGTGTGAAATTGCTGATCCCTCTATTCTAGCCATTTCGTGTGATTGTTGCTTCTCCCTCTTTTTTCAAGCTTACCCAGAGCAAAGAGGAAGAAAATAGTGCTACAAAGAGCAGCAACCAGGATATTCATCAGCATCAAATTAATATTAAGAGTGGTGATGGGAGGGCATTAATTTGTTCTGCAGCATTGAATGTGCTACTTTCAAAGTGATTATTGCATTTTAAAAATGGTAACGCTAAGTGCCCAGTATTAAGAAGTCCTACTGCAATATTACCTTTGTGCCCAATTCTGCTATTTGCCTTGCACAGCAGACGGGATATCACTTAAACCACATCATACACACATGCATCAAAAATAGCTCTTCACAAATAATATGGCAATCAATCCTATCCCCCACACAGAGATGACAAAAATATCTACAATATGGGTATATTATAATTCTGTCTTGGTTATAAACCCAGAAAGCACTTGATATCATTTAGAAATTGTATTCATTTCACTGGAAAAACTCAAATCTGCATGAACCTCTTCCATCCAAATCAACACAGCCTGAAATTATTCTATTAATGAATATGATCCATATGTGTCACAGAGGCAATATTTGGTGCACGGAATCTTTCTTATATTAAAAACACATCCATGCTAGCCTTATGGTCATAATTATTAACTAGATTACCTCACAAACAAGTAACAACAAAACATCATAATCTTCATTTGTAATACTGAACTACAGAAAGGCTATATGAAGAACCCATGGGATTTTAAAAACACACAAAAAAACAAAACAAAATTGTACTTCCAACCACCACTACTCATTCTTATCCACAAAACAATGTATTATGATAGATTGTTTTCAGGATCCTACATTACTCTCTAGACTGGGTAACTTGGCAGATTAATTTATCAGCTGAATTTGTTTAGCTGGCATCTTCAGGAACAACCCAGTCAGAGTATCTACTATGTATTTAAAATATTGGAGAGTGTCTTAATTGGCTGTGATAATGCCCACAGTGCACAGCAGCCACTGCAAATGGCCACTTCCTTCCCAGAACTGTCTGGCAGAGCTCATGATGGCTCACATTACCCGCTCCTGCCACAAACCACTAGCTGTCAATAATGAGGAAATATGGAATACAGTAACATCATAAAACAGTGATAGTTTTAATATATTCTTTAAAACGGAAGAGGAAGAGAACTGGTCCATAACGAGACATTGTGCAACAGTATTAGTAGTTATGCATTTCATGTATAATATCTAATTTGGACCTTAAGAGTTACACATCCCTCCTGATTCTCATTGGGGTAGCCAGCAGATAGGCTGTTGGAGGACTGGTGAATACACATTTGGTTTTATGGCTGTTCCTCTTCCTGCGATAACTTGTATGGGAGCTCTTCCAGTGCAGGATCCTATTCCAACAAAGGTTTTGCATTGAAGTGGCCTTGTACAACTTGGACAAACTGCAGGAAGAGGAAGCCATAAAACTAAGAGAGGATCTGTTACTTTTAGAGCAGGTTTGCAAAATCTGTGGTCCTCCAGGTGCTTTGGACTTCAGCTCCCAGAATTCCTGGCCATTGGACCAGCTGGCTAGGGCTTCTGGGAGTTGGAGGGCCACAGCTTTTGCAGACCTGCTTTAGAGCAATGAATCAATAGATGCCACTCTCCCCTCACTTCTTCGAAAGCTATATTTTCATGGATCAGGTATTTGGCTCTTAAAAGACTCTGTTTTATCAGTGTTTAGCAATAGTACACTGACTGCAAGAAGAGGCATTCTAAATCATACATTTTTCTGAGAACTTAATTCTTATTTCTCTCCTTTTGTCTCAATCACAAAACATGAAAAATAAAAGTAATTCCAAAATTCTAAAAATAAAACCCACTCATTTCTAGCATCTTTGAAATTAAGTCAGGGAAACTGCAGCTAATTCACCACCACCACCCTCTCCCGGCCACCTTCTCTTATTGTATGCAAGTGATGAATACAAAGCTTGGAGCGAAAGAAAATGAATGGAGCAATTTAAAGTTTGATAATTGCTTCAGGGTGGGGATACGAGAACAAGAAATGTATCAGAATACTCACTTTGACGAATCTATGAAGTATATTACAAGAGCACCAATACTAAGAGCGAAGACTAAAACAACCTGCAAAAAATAAAGAGAAAACACAATCACTTTACAAGGCATTTATTATTTATACAAACAAAAAGGAATGAAAAAATAATGCATGAAATTTGATAGTTCCATTTTTATTTTATTTTTCTGCTTTACCCAAAACAGGAACATTACTTGAAAGTCCTGATGGGGCCGAGGGAAATACATGTACATATGGACATAGCCAAAGATATCTGAAACCTCAAAGCATACAGAGCAGATGGTGTCCAGTGCTGGCAATATAACACTAAACATATAATGAACAATTTGCTGCCCTCTAATGGTATCCTAAAACTGTTGTCTAAGACAATCCACCTCACCCTACTAATTGGCCCAATATGGCTTATATGAACATCTCTCATATCAATGTTTGTAGTCCCTGGAGCTTTCAAGAGGAGGGTTGTGCTCAAGGCCACATCCTGTCACTGAATTAGGTTATGATACCTACAGTAGTACTACTTAAAGTGGAGCTCTCTCCAAAATACAGCTACAACAATAATATGCACATTCAATAAAGGCCTGCCCACACACATCAATGTTCTGCTTTAAGCATCTCTTGAAACTTTTTCTAAAAATATATTGTTGAAGTGAATTTTTGGATACACAGTGTTCAACAGTAATATGCTAGAACACATGTATTCTAGCATATTACTCAAGATCCCGTGGGCCGAATTCAGACCTCTGTGTCATTTTTATGGGATCTTCCAGATGCTGGACTGCAATTCCTGTATTTCTCATCATTAGACATCATGACTTGAGCTAATGAGAGTTGTAATACAGTAACATCTGAAAGGTTGCATTTTGTTCTGTTTGGTCAGGAGAATGGGGTTTGAGACTGGGGTTTTTATTTAGATATAAAACTTGTGGATAGGATGTTCTTTATCCTTTCCCCAGACTCAGAGCCACAAGTGTTGTTAGGCTGCAATTCCCATTATCCCAGTATACATGGCAGATAATCAAAAGTGATGAGAGTTGTCATTCAATAACATCCGGGGACCCAAACTGGATAAAAACTAAAGAACACTAACCACTATATAATATATAATATAATATAATATAATAATATAATATAATATAATATAATATAATATAATATAATATAATATATAATATAATATAATATAATATAATATAATATAATATAATATAATATAATATATATATATATATATATGTATATATATATATATATATATTATAGTGGTTAGTGTTCTTTAGTTTTTATCCAGTTTGGGTCCCCGGATGTTATTGAATGACAACTCTCATCACTTTTGATTATCTGCCATGTATACTGGGATAATGGGAATTGCAGCCTAACAACACTTGTGGCTCTGAGTCTGGGGAAAGGATAAAGAACATCCTATCCACAAGTTTTATATCTAAATAAAAACCCCAGTCTCAAACCCCATTCTCCTGACTGCAATTCTCAAACCCCATTCTCCTGACTGCAATATATATATATAGTTGGCCATCTGTATCCATAGATTTAGTGGATCCTTGAAGGCAACCATAAGCAATGAAAATTAGTTGAACATCCTTTACTAGGACATTAGCTATGAGATTACTAAAATTTAATCTATGACAGGTTAGAGGGAAGAGTCTAGTGGGATCCATAGGAAGCAAACAAAGACATTTATCTAAGTGTACCATCTGGGCCACAACAGATTTGTCTGTGAGATAGATAGATAGATAGATAGATAGATAGATAGATAGATAGACAGACAGACAGACAGACAGACAGACAGACAGACAGACAGACAGACAGACAGACCGATTCGTCTAAAGACTCAAGGTCCGAAGCCTGGGGCATATGTTTTGCCCTTGTTACAAAATTAACAAGAGTACATTCTTTATTATGGGTTATGAGAAAATAAGAGTTGTTGCAGTGGGAGCTTTGTTTGTTTTGTGCTATATAACATGAATGCAATTGCATATATAAGCCTTTGCAACAATTTCCATCAATTTACCACAATTTACCACAAACAGCATGTAATCTGAGCCTGGAAGATGTCTTACCCTGCCATTTCTGGATGAGGCACCCTAGTGTGCCTGGACTGTAGTCCACTCATGGATTTGATAATGAAACACTGCTGGAAATATATTTCTTAGTCCTTACTAAGGGTGAAACAAGTGCCTGGAAACCCTGTGTCTTTATTAGTTTTGCATCCATTACAATCCATTGCATTTATTTTCTATTTAATATCTTTCTAGATAATATGAGAGTCATGTGTATATTTACATTAACCAGAGCAACTAAATTACTTTGTGAAAAGACAGGAAATAGTACATAGCAACTTCTAACTGGTGCAAGGTAAGTTGAGCAATACAATTCTATGCATCACTGCTCATAAATAAAGGTTCTATTAAAGCTTATAAGGGTATATCTTGCAGGCTGCTATGTACATTTGATACTTGTACATATTCAATCTTTTGAGTAGATAAGGTATTTTTAATTTTTTTATTGTTCAATGTTTTGATGTTTTTAGTGTAATGGGATGTTTTATTTTTATTGATGTATGTATTTTATATATGGCATCGAATTGTGCCAACTGTTCACCGCCCTGAGTCGCCTTTGGGCTAATATGGGCGGGGTAGAAATAGCATAAATAAATAAATAAATAAATACACACTCTACTGTTGATTATCTGTATTCTATGTGCAAAAAGGAAATGATAAAAATCAAACCAGAAATGAAATACTGACCTAAAGCCAATAGCTAGTCCCAAATAAAGAAGACTGATTAAGTAATTGGAATTATGTAGGTGTTGGCATGTTATCTAGCAGCTAATTCAATGGGTCTACTCTATTTGGGAATAGCAACTGGATTTAGGCCACTGTAAATGATAACAATAAAGGGGAAAGACTTTATGAATCCTAGGGACTGAATTTGGATACGGCCAAACACTGCTACAACACTGAGAGTCCAAAAAATTAAAAGACTACTATATAAAGCAAGTTTCCACTCCACTCACTAAATACAGTATTTGGATTTATATAATTGCTTAGTCAAATCAACCACTTAGGAAATTTATTCAGCCAGATTTGCATTGTCAATTTTGCTTAATTGACTGGAGAAAGAAAGTGCTTTTTAAAAAGAAGAAAAAGAAAAAAAAAGAATTTCAGGCTTATAAATGAAATAGGAATGGGGTTAGAGAACTTCCTAAGACTTCCTGCAAAGCATGTTGTTTTGCAGAGCATGTTGTTTTGCAGAGGCCTGACAGCCCAAAACTTGTCACCTGGGAACTGAGAAATTTCTAGTTCTAGACTCATCTGATTATTTTCCTTTTACATTTCTAATAAGAGAAATAGTGATCATTTTGTACACATACTTAGAGTCTAAACATTGGAGTAATGAAAAAAACACTACATAAAAATGCTTACTATCAGTTATGGATTACATGACCAATATTTGTAGGTAATTCAACTATTTTCAAAGTTGGAGAATTTTTGCAAAAATAAGCAAGACTGGGTTTGGTGCAAACTATTTTTTATATTATATGCCAAAACATATAGGAAAATCTTATGCCATTTGAACATTTATAATGGGGAATCAAAGCAACATTTATTTATTTATTTATTTATTTCTATAATGCTTTTCTCACCCCTGGGGGGACTCAAAGTGGTGTCAGCAAGGATGAGAAAATCTGTAATTCTTAATATCTCTACATGAGAACAGTAGGAAATTTAAGTAGGCCTACTGTCAGTCCAGAAAAAGAGAATATGATGTACTGTATATGCTTGAGTATAAGGAAAAAACAAAACTGGTGAAAAAAGGAACCCCAAACCCTGGGTTGAGTTATACACAAATCTGTTCAAATGCCTGTCCAAAAAAACGACAGCCATGACAGCAGCAGTGGTTGTGTTGGAGCTTCTCTGCTGGAGAAGCTCCAACACAATCCTGGAAGAAGCAAGTCTGTCTTCCCTCCCACCCTTCAGACAATCCACCTTTGCTCTCTCCACTTAGAAACAACAAGCTTTTACTCTCTCTCCCTTCCTCCACCCCAAGATCCATTAGAGTTGCAGGAGAAGGATGAAAGGGGATAGCTCCTTTTTTTCAGACTGGACTAACAGCCCCAGGTCTTAGTTGGTGGTGAGAGATCCTGTAATTAATAACTCTGCCTTTGCCTCCAAAGAATCAGTGCTGCCTTTGCTCTCTTTTCCAGTGGTTCCCAACCTTTGGTCCTCCAGGTGTTTTGTACTTCAGCTCCCACAATTCCTAACAGCTGGAAAACGGGCTGGGATTTTTGGGAATTGAAGTTCAAAACACCTGGGGGACCAAAAGTTGGTAACCACTGCTCTACCCCATCAACTCTCATTTGGGGCTTCCCTTCCTTGGCAGAGAGAGGTTGCTTCTCTGCTGCAAAGAGAGGACCAACAAGCTACCATTACTGCCCAGCTATTGCAAAAATTCATTGGGCAGACTACAGAATATCAGTGCTTCTCTTCACAAAGGTATCACCAAACTTAATTAATATTAAAGTTAAAGACCGTGAACCTTTATAACTTTTGTTTACATGCCTCCAGATTTTACCCTCAACTTTACCATAAGTTATATCAAAATTTAAAAATCTGCCCTCAACTTATAAATGATGTCAACTCTACATGAGTATATACGGTAAGTATATAAATAGGTCTCTTTATGTAATGCTGAAGTTTAAGCTTCTCTTTCTTTTTCAGGATGCCTGTTGCATCCGGTCTTTTCCCCTTTCAGTTTCTTTCTTGCTCTTTATTAGTGGAACTCTTGGAACCAAGCCTGTATGCAGTGAATTGGCAATTTTATAAGAATCCTGCTGTGACAGTATCTGGGTCAACAGTGTGATATCTGAAAGGCACTGCCTTTGGTGGGATGCAAGCAGAACAGGTAGATCCATCCCAAATCAATCATGCCCATAGACCATTACATCAATCCTCTCGGATCACACTAATCCATTCTATGTGGGCAGGGAATCTCTGATCTTCCAGATGTTTTGGACTTTCCAGGTCTCAGATGT